ACACACACACACACACACACACACACACACACACACACACACACACACACACACACACACACACACACGTGTATATTAGCAGGAGTATATAATAGAGAAGGAGTGTGACATCAATAAACAAGGGAAATTTGTCATTTACTAGCCTTAAAATACCTACGATTTACTACGTGTAACTCTTCCAACTTGAGCTCAAATCGTTTCCTCATATACACAAGCAATCCGGAGATACAGACTAAAACGTACGACATGATTATCCATTCTTTGGCCATCAATCCAAGCCGATTGCCTGCCTATATTCAAACAAAAGGCAGCTACTAACTCGGCGAGGCATGTGGCTCGCTGGGAGATTAGGCATCAACGCAACACAGATAATCTTTGACCTGGTACACAGCTACATACCGGCCTACCGGCATACAGCTGGCATGCCCCCACGTACGCACGCCAACCGCAATCAGCAGCAGATCCGGGCTCAAATCTCCCAGCAAGCCACATTGCCCGCCGAGTTAGCAATAGCACGTTAGTAGCTGCCTTTTGTTTGAATATAGGCGGGCAATCGGCTTGGATTGATGGCCAAAGAATGGATAATCGTGTCGCACGTTTTAGTCTGTATCTCCGGATTGCTTGTGTATACGAGGAAACGATTTCGCACGATGCTAGGCGAATGTACTGTGTACGATTTGAGCTCAAGTTGGATGAGCTACGCATAGTAAATCGTAGATATTATAAGGCTAGTAAATGACGAATTTCCCTTTTTTATTGATGTCCCACTCCTTCCCTATTATCTACTTCTGATATTAGTATATAGTATTATAGGTATATATATATATATATCTTAAACATAATACTTCTGATGACATTTAAGAGTCTATAATCTAGCTACCTCACAGTCCATAAGTATGTACTTCAACTTGTCCTCTCCGAATGCCACATGACCGGACTTTTCGTATGCTGACCATATGTTGCTGGCAATAGCTGCTGTCACTTTGGCATCTTTGTTGTCGTAGCCAGAATATGCCAGCAGTGCCCCTTCACCATTAAGAAGCCTAGAATTTAATAAACATAGTATAATGCATGAGTAGCAGACCTAATTATCAAGAATATCATTGAGCATGTAAACAATTGCAGGTGATTTGGCCTAGATTCCACACGTTATAGAACTTCTGCTGAGCCCACAAACTTTTCATGCAATTTGATCTAAATTTTACCCATCACAATATGACCTTCCATGCCAGCTGTTGGACAGTGGCTTTTTCTTTAGCAAAAGCAACAAGAATCCCATCCATTCTAACCAGTAGGTGGCACAACAGGCCCAGGTTTAATATAGGATACCCTCTACACAAACCAACACCATGCCAACCCTAGCTAGCCTTTTTAATAACTACATCATCCAACTATTTCCAATCCTATTTCCGACTCTAATCTACTTCTAACCTAACATTAACCGTAATTTATTATAACCAAACATTATAGACTGGAGAACCTACACCAAATTACGTTGTGGATCGGACGACCTTATACAGCTTACAACCTATTGATTGCCAATTACTACTGTATGTGCTACACAGTCATGTTAACAATCTCTAGGTATGACTATTAGGTGCAATTTTACGATTGAAATAGTTGAAATACTATTGCCAATACTAAAACAGTTATATTACTATTGCAAATACTATTACAGTAAATGAAAGTAGATAATATATAATAGATCCATAACCTTTAACATTTTATCAATAGTTCTACAACTGGTTACAGGCACTTTGGTCATTCAAATACCAAAATTACAGAAAATAAACAGAAAACATATTTACTCCCAAACCAAAGTTCTCTACCCTACAAAACCATTCTCAAATACTCTTCTACAACACGCAACCTTGCACAAACATGCCAGTGTGCCCAATCTCACAAAAATAGTACTAAACTTTACAGAATAACAGTTTTTCTGCGTATGGTATTACCACAGGCACTTGGAGCGTTTCAATAAAATATAATGCTAACTAAATACGAAATCTATTTACTACCAAATTCTTAATGTTTCTATACTCTCTTTCACCTATTATTGCCGACAGTTTCCTGTAAATTTCGTCCAAATACTATGTGCAACTCATGCGAGCAGATTAAGAGAACATAGGTAACAAAAAATGGCCTGTTCCCTTTTATAGTATAGGTGCGGGCGGAGCTACGTCACAGATCATGAGTCATGTGACCACCAGCAGAACGCCGGGGAAAACAACACGATCGCGTCACTGGCGCCCATAGGATTACTGCATAACGATACGAATTATCCGTCACTTGGGTTGGCAGTTTTAATAAGTTTTTTTAGCTCATCTGACATAGTCAGATGCAGCTTGTAGAATCGCATGATGCGTCGTGCGTCGTCCGTCCGTGGCGAGCGTCCGTCCGTCCGTCAACAGTTGGCACAAATCTTAACCGCTCGACGTACGGTCACGATATTCGGGACGTGGGGGGTAATCCGAAAAGAGTTTGGATGTCGAAGCTGGGGTCAAAGGTCAAAGGTCAAGAGGTGTAAAAGAAGAGGGAACTTCACTCCTTAACTTAAGGTATAGGGAGGAAATGCAGAATTGCGACAGACACAATCTAAACGGCTCGACCTAGGCTTGTGATAGTCGGTGTATAGCATCATGGTAGGAAAAGCCATCACTGTGCCGAAATTGGAGGTCACAGGTCAAAGGTCAATGGGCACAGGGCAGATTTTAGAAATTTTCTGAGGACATGGTCTGACGGAGCGATTGAAAAACTTTTTTGTTTCAGCGGTGACCTAGCATTTTTATGGCTTTATTGAAAGGACCATGAAATGTACCTTCTGCTGACATGCGAAGAGTAAGTGTCGGATAACCTTTTGACCCTCAAGAGGAGGGTTAAACATGGATTTGTTTACTGTCTGTTAGAAAGAATTTGACTGCCGGGTTTGCTAGTAGAAACTATACATGCCTGGATGTATGAGGCTACAATGTCACAGGAACTTTCAAAGCTAAATTTGGTTGAAGAAGGTTTATGCTGCCTTAAATCGTATAATTTCTACGGCATTCTGTACTGTCAGTATGTTCATGTAACGTATCCCACTGCCAGTGCATGTGGTGGTGGTACTGTGTAGTTTTTGCCTGCATTAATTGGTTACAGGTGGCAGCTCTCTATTGCAGCCTGTAGGCTTGCGTAGGTAAATGGATGAGTGCTTACCTATTCTGTCTTGCAAATAGTTGTTGCTACTACGTACGATGGGAGCTTCCATCTTTATCTGAAGACACTTAAACTTACGCGCCATCTCGTGGCAACTTTCATAACGATCCCAACGAACATTCCTTTGAGAAGGTTCCTGATACCATCCCTGTGCATTCCACTGTTTCGCGTGTATGTGAACACATTTGGGACTAACAGGGTTTACTAGAATCCCACCACTCCACCACAGAGTCACCGCAGTAGACGTTAGATGAGCCGAGCGCTGTCGCTCCGCGGCACTTGTTTCATTAAATTTCTTCTGCCTTACGAGTATATAGATAGCCTTTCTGTAGCTATAATTATGACATTACGTAAGATACATATGCGCTGCAAATATAAAATATTTTAAGCTATTCTTATTTGTTTGCTTTGCATTAGTTGAATAAAATTACCCTCAGGTCTCGTGAAACAAAAACAAAGTCCAAGATTACACATGCGGCAGCGGCACGCACACACACGCACACGCAGTGACACAATCACACGCACACGCATACGCACACGCACACACAGTGACACACTCACACGCACTCGCACACACAGTGACACACGCACACACACGCACACGCACACACAGTGACACACTCACACGCACACATACAGGCTTTCATTTTTAAGGGGCGCGATCGCGCTCGGCAGCTCCACCGCGCACCCCGAAATTGTGGCCATGGTGCGCGCATCATCGCGCCTCATAAAAGTGGTTGAAATCGCGGCACCAAAAGTATGTCTATTATGTTGAAATAGCGCTCTCGATAGAGTTCTCAATGTAGGGGGGTACAAAAAAGTTAGCAACACACAACAATTTGTGGTGTGTAAGTAACTGAACGTATGCAGAGGTACAGGTCTGGTTACTACCCTCTGGTTTATATATATATATAAATACAAACTAAACAACAGCATCCAAATACAGGTACCTATACGGTAGCCACAAGTTACCTGCTGCGGTTTCTCTACTATACGTGGCGAGAAGTGGTTTTCTGGCCGACATGAAACAGTCGTAGGGCTGGAGGGGCTACATACGTGGCTACTACGTACAAGTAATTTGGCTAGTTTGTTGGATGGATTGTGATGAATATTTGTGCTGAAATATGCGCAGGTACATGGATTAGAATCTCTAAGCGATGGGAAATCAGAAAAATAAACAAGTTTATTTTTACATCGATCAACTCTTTTATTAATCTGTGGGCTAGTGTTGGGGTTTTGATGAAGAAGAGATGTAATCCTGACGAAAGCCTATTGAATTGAATGAAGGTGAAGATGAATGATAATCAGTAGATTGACATGACATCCCAATTTTCGTTTTGGATTTCACTCTAGACTGAGGATTGGTCATGATTCCATCATCACACCCCAAGAGGCATGATGGAGAGACCTCAAGGAGCTCTCCATCATCCCTTTTAAAGGTGTGATTTTTAGTGGAGCCCTCCATCATGCCTCTTAAGGGTGTGATTTTTTAGTGGAGCTCTCCATCATGCCTCTTAAGGGTGTGATTATGGAGCGTGAAAAGACCCCCTATGGTGTCCTAGGGGAGTCATTAGTAGTCCTTCTGTACTTTTCAAATCTGAAAGCCTGCACATACATACACACAGTGACACACTCACACGCACACGCACTCGCACACAGTGACACACAAACACGCACGCGCGCACACGCACTCGCACACACAGTGACACACTCACACGCACACGCACACGCACACGCATATGCACACGCACACAAGGACACACAAATACGCACACGCACTTGCACACACAGCGACACGCACACGCATACGCACGCACACGCACGCACGCACACACACTCGCACACACAGTGACACACTCACGCACACACACGCACACACAATGACACACAAACACGCACGCGCGCACACACACGCACACATAAACACGCACGCACACGCACACGTACACACAGTGACACACTCACACGCAGCACACACGGTGACACACAAACACGCACACACGGTGACACACAAACACGCACACATGGTGACACACAAACACGCACACACGGTGACACGCAAACACGCACAGGCACACACAAACACGCACTCGCACACACAGTGACACACTCACACGCACACGCACACGCACACACATACGCACACGCACACACAAGGACACACAAACACGCACGCACACACAGTGACACACTCGCACGCACACGCACACACACACACACACACACACAAGGACACACAAACACGCACGCACGCACACACACAGACGCACGCACACGCACTTGCACACACAGTGACACACTCACACGCACACACGCACGTACGCACGCATACGCACACGCACACACACGCACTCGCACACACAGTGACACACTCACACGCACACACGCACGTACGCACGCACGCAGTTATAAAATAGTAGTTACCTGTCACGAAATTATCAGAACAAATAGTGGAGAATTTTGACGGACTCCAGTGTGTACCATTTACATTTACTCATTTATATTTAAGTGGCAGTCAGCCACTAATGACTTATCACGCCTCTCTCGACTTATGTCATTTTGGCAGCTCAAAAAATATCTTTTCTTATCTGTGCAATATATATGATTGTGACAACCTACTATACTACACAAGTTTTCGGCATATACTGCATACGGAAATTAATATGCTTATTTCGCTTCTGGAATGGGGTATTGCGGTGTGTAAGCTCACGGAGAACAGGGCTTTTGTTATCACCGCAGCACAGACTGGTTGCTAGGTTAGAAAGTCCCGATGTATGCAAAGTCCCGGCTGTCTCTCTGCCCGCCCCCACCTACTAGAATAACTATTAAGGTGTTTAACACAGCTTAGAGACCGGTTAGTAGGGCTGCAGGCCTGAATAAGCATCGAACAAAATTAATTAAAAATAACTCACACTGTGTACTGCACATACACTTTATCATGTTAATAACTACAGATTCATGCTCTTGCTCCGCTCGAAACTTTTGCCAGCATCCCCTATGGACTGCGAATTTCTACAAACGTTAGGTCGGCATCACATTTCAATACACAAAAATTCACCTGCGGTCGCTGTGGCTACGCTAGACTGAC